CCCCCCCCCCACAGAAAAAGCAAAAAAATAATCCACATTACACGTTGGCATCATTGAGGTGTTAACAATGCACCACACGGCAGATTTCGTAAATCTTGCAAAAGATGTAAAGTACGCATTTCACAAACCAGAAGGCCAATAATTCTTGAAATTTTTACTTTGGGATTCCGCGTGACTGTGCCAAGAAACTCTGAATGGACCTCGAACCCGAAAATAAAATGGCAACTTCAAAGTAAACAAGATGGCTGCCATTGTGTACATGTATTCATAAATGTGCAGATGCACAATACACTTGAAACCATCGCATTGAAATCACTTCATTAAATTGTTTAACAGGGAGAAAACTCTGGGACGCTCACCAGTGTTTGCTGCATCAATAGTGACTGAAGACAGTTCATGTATCCTCATAGTCATGGGGAAAAGGGGAGGGGGGTGGGTGGGTGAGAGAGACAATGACAGTCATTGGGTTAATGCAGGAAATTCTTCCTAAATTTGCAAAATGTTGTACATGTGACAATACAAGTTTTGGTACAGGTGCACTATGCTCTGTTGCATCCAGTTTTACAACTGCAACAGACCAGATTGAGAACTTTATCATGAGCTGGCAGCATCAAGTCCAACGGCTGGGAGGAGTGTTGACTGGTGTAACTGCCATCTGTACTCAGCAGTATCCGGCGGCAGGAAATGGCTCCCTAGCCGCTTGCTACAGTACAGCCTGATAGTGTGCTCCTTTGGCGTGGGCATGAAAACTTGCCATCGTCGGAAGAAGGCTACTCAGTTTTAGGGGGATGTGTCTCTTTCCAGCAATCCTCTTCTTGAAAATGCTAGCTTGAAATGTATTAAGATTGGCCCCTGACACGTCCCCATAAAACAGATTACATATAGGGAGCTGAAGGCATGACTGAGAGCCTTCCTGGAAAGGTACAGACATCTTCCGTAGCTTCTGTTCATCTTCTTGAAAACTATCATGTCCAGGAATGGGCTGTACACCACATCTGTCTTTGTTTGGAGCTGTTGTTTGCGCTGTGGGCACATTGTGTGTTATAACCTCCATACTCATGTCGCACATCTTCGCCGAGTACCTGTTTGAAAAAGGACAGGTCTTCAGTTGCAATTCTGTTAAGAGAAACCTATTGTGTGGCAAAAAAGACTAGAGATGGGGCATGTGGCAGGCACAGTTCTTCCGGCATAAGCCGTTTTTTCCCGTTTCCTGATACCGTTGAAATACAACGTCACCAAGTTCGTCGTATGAGGTGGTGACTCCATAAGTGGTGACTCGTCTATGAATTTGCAAGTTTGTGAAATAGCTGCTAACTGTACTTGTAACTATCATTGCTGTATATTCTAGTTTGGGGTGTAAGGCTGAAAGGACGACAGCAAAGTTGGGCTGCACTCATTCATGCCAAATACTCTGGGTAGACGGGTTGGGTACGTGTGGCGATTGGGCTTTGAACATTCTGCCTTGATCACGCTCGCCAAGCTCGTGCATCTCAGTCTTCTTCATTATCTGAGCTGAAGTCGTGCTCCTGAAGACGAGGATGGAAGTCACACCTGGTGAAGACAGGATCAGCCATTCTAGATGCAGCTTCTCAGATACATGGTTGAGGAGTGGACGTTGCGAATTGTCTTTCCTCCTAATTCAATATAGCGTTCTTGGACTTTGCATTATTCCACATGCATGATTTGTTTGATCGTATCTCATCAACCGGCATACTGAAGGCATTGTCATGCATTGAAGGTCAGCTTGTTGATTGCTTTGGATTATTTGTGTAGAACCGGGAGTAAGCAGTCTCTGTGATACCCAGCGTCTGCTGCATTCAAAGCACCGACACACGGAAACTGACAACCGTTTCCCACGTTCCTCAGTATATTTTTGCATTTCTTCTTTGGTTACCTTCCCCCCTTTCTCCTCTGAAGTTCGCTTATTTTTCCAACGACCTGTGTGTTTTGAGCATGCTTCTCCGAAAAAACAATGTTCACGAATTAGTACTGCCCCAAAGACGTTTGGGTTCTTCTTCACAAAGTTTCTCAGTCTTTCTCTTTTGTAAAAGTCGCTGAATATGGTCCTTGGAACAGTATGTGCTCATACAGTTCTTGTGACACAGTATAAACTCAGACTGAGTGTATCTGAGTGCACCTTTTAGTACAGCCGGTGGCATCACGGCGAGAGGATCTGTAAGCGTTAGCACCCTCGCGGAAATCTTTGTCGACTCGTCCATGAGTCGCTCGGCCATCATTCTTGCATGATACAGGTTTGGTGTATTTTTAACTAGTAGAAAAAAATTATGCCCATAAGATACAAGTTGGTCCTATACTAATATGAGAAAGACCCCGATGTAACAATCACAAAAGAAAAAAAAACTGTCTAAAGGAAAAAGTTCTAGTACTTGTACATAGATCCGGCTCTCGGACTAATAACGTCTTCATTTGCTGGAGGCAATGCGATTAATTCATTGTGGTATAAAACAAAAACATTTTAAAATGAAAGTGGACGACATAGCCGCTTTACAATACAGTACAATTTTCATTTATTATTTGGGTTAGCCTAAAGAAGACGCAGCATTCATGGATTTCAGCAACTTCTCGGTCATAGAAGGCATCAGGGCGACGCTACTGTGGCTAATTATGGACATGACATCATCGTTGTGTGAGGCAGCTAAGAAAGTGTGAGCCCGCCCATCCATTTTGGGCAACTGCATGTTTTTGGTAGACTGTGGACAAGAGGAAAGAAAGTAAGTTTTTGCAGACTTGTGGATCGGGGGAACACACACACACACACATACACACACACACACACTCACACACACACACACACAGACACACACACATACACACACACAAACACACACACACA